AGCATATCAGGTTGGAGATGGGCTGTGGATGGAGGGGATGGGAGCGCACACGATCTCGGAGGTGTGTCCCATTGTTCGGAGCGTTTCCGTGGCTGCCACGAATATGAAACTTATCTGCAGAGCGGAGTCCTCCGTGGATGCTGGAGTTTTGCACGTGCAACGCTGGGAAGTTGCTCAACTTTCTGCCGTCATCGTTCGTCCTTACGCAATTCGTCGGCTCGTCGGCTCCCAGTTATTTGAGCACTTTAATTTCATGTTTTGGATTGTTCACATGATTTCTCAAGATCAGATTGCTATCTGCCTCGGTTCCTGCCACTGTCCCTCGGTCCCTCTGTCCCTCAATCCCCTGATTCAATTATTGCGCTTTTCCTAGCTGTTTTGTCGTCGTCCCTGTTTCTTCTGATGTCTCGGGGTCTAATAGTTCATTTCCTGCCTCGGTACTGGGGTTCCATTTGCACTTCGTTTTTGACGTGATTTCTGAGTCGCTTCCTGTGGATGTCGCCCCGTGGATTGTCTCTCCTGCCTGGCGTTCCTCCCCTCTGTCTGTTTGCACTTTTGGGTTTGATTCGCTTTTTGCTTTTATGAACTTTGATGACTCGTTTCAGCGGAAGTTCTCCTCAAAGGGTTCCACTTCCGCACTTGGTGCCTGAATTTGCATAAAACGAGCGCCAAAAATCTTGGAAAATGTTTGATTTAATTCTCTTCTACTTGGCGCCAAAAAAGATAATTGCCGGGCTGTCATCTCGGGGCGATGCATGAAGATTTGGTTACTTTTGGCTTGATTTTGAAAAAGGAGTTGTCCCATGTCAATGGGCTGCATATCCGTTCTCAGAGATGTGCTTTGTGATCGTGCATTATTATTTCTATGCTGATAGATTAGAGAACATTCTGAGACGCAGTTTGGGAAATAGAGAATGTTTCTCCTCTAACCTTTCCGCATTCTGTAACTACTCTACTCCTGTTCTCATGCTGATCCTCTCTAGGAGCTTGCAGATGACTTGCGAGAGGGTTTTTATGGCCCACAGGGTGAGCTCAATATAATCAAGGGATAACGCTGGAGATTGAGCAGCAGATCGAATCCAGGCAGATCAAGAGCAGATCAAGGAAGATCAATTGCAGATATAGAAACTCAAAGGAGGAGTAATCTCAGCGAAAGTCCTTCATTTCAGAGGCTAAGAGGGCAGACATGTAAATGCCTCCTACTTGATTAATTCCCTGAATATATCTTCATTATTTATGATCCAAATTGTCATTTAAAACAAAGCTTTAATGCGTCCCGTATTCTTCATTTTCTCTGGGTGTTTATATAGTTGGGATTCTCCCTTTGTGAAATTCGAATAAAAGGTAACACAATACACACAAAATCTGCTCTGGCCGAAAGAGTGTTTATTGGAGCCATAAAACGGGAACAAAACACTCACCTAATGACATTTCGGGTCTTTCCCACCAAAAGTCTGGCGCGATTCATAATGAGCGAATGGGAATGGGTATAGGTATAGGTATAGTAGGGTACAGCATACAGAATATTGCAGAGCAACAGCCGTCATACGAGAGACAGGCGGTGGGCAGGTCATTGCGGGCCGATCGATCCTCAATGAATGTTGGAAGCTGAAGCGTCGGCGGCAACTTTTGGGCCGTAAAACCGAATCGCAACTGCAAACGCAAATGAAGTGAAATTCCCAAATATTTTTAACCCTTTCGCTGTGTTCTTCTGCTGGTTTTCTTTCTTTCGCCCGAAGTGTCATTAGGTGCGTGGCGTCGACTGTGTTTTATGGGTCTTAACCCTTTCCCCTCGATGGCCGATTCATAAAAACGATCCGTCCAGCGAAAGTGGCATAAAAATCAGAGCCGCTACCTGGCTACCTGGTGGCTGGCATTCTTCGAAGACAAAAAGGTGCTAACTACAGTGCTCGGACATCATCATTAGCCGCAGGACCACGACCACGACAACGGCTACCTATGGCGGCAACACCTTCCCTTCCCTTCCCTTCCCTTCTGGAATCCTTTCGCTTTCGAATGTCCTGCAGCCCTCACATAAACTTTGCTAAAAAGTCATAGGTTGTTGGGCAAAATTTTCAAGGAAATTTTGTATTTTTTATTCATTTTTTATGTGCTGCGATAACCTTGAATGGTCGTCAGTGGGTCGTCGGGCTGCGAGTCCTACCTGAAGGCAGGAGGCAGAGTTGTGCTCAGGTCTGCATTGTGGCCTGCTCGTGACTGCTGTTTCAATTCTTGTGGTGGATTTAGCGCTAATCCGCGGGGATTAGCAGCTCGCCGGCGTTTCATATCAATATTTCACATATCATTTCATTAAGTACGGTAGCTGTACTTGGTCTCAATGAAAGTAGGGGAAAGCGGGGGGAGAAAGACTGCTACGAGTATGGGGAGGGGTACGTGGGAAGCGCTGACAGATGCTGGGGCTGAGGCTGAGGCTGCCTCTTTGCATACTCGTATTCATGAGTTCCCACAATTAAGTCCTCCCGCCACTCGGCACTCTGGACTGGTCAACAGAATGTCAAAAATTGATATGTCATCGTCATCTGGTTTACTAGAGCATCATCCACTGATCAACTCCCTCGCTGGCAGGGCAGGGCAAGGCACCCTCCAGCTAATGATCAGCATAGCATCACATCACATCACACGCAAGCAAATTCCCATGCAACAACTCACCTGAGTCCAAGTCCCATTCCGAGTCCCATGGAGAGGCAAAGCAAACCACCCCCAACAGCAGCATCATCCCACTACTACGGCTGCTGCTGCAAGGGGTTGCTATTCCAATTAGAGTCCTGCCTGCCGCTACGGCTACCCTCGCTCCGACACTGGTGATATCATGTCAAGCATTTTATTGATCAAGTTACGCATCCGTAATACGAATCGAAATATAATTGCTCTTTTTAAGTGTCTATCATATATCCACATGGAATATTCGAACTCGCACTCGAACTCGAATCATTTGCATGTCCATCACCCATCACCCTCTCTGGCTGTGCCTTTGGGTGCGCTCTGCTCTGATCTGTTCCCACGTATTCGGGGTTGGCATTGGCATTGGCCTCGTCAGGCCTTAGGCGTTGGGTCTTAATCGCACCAGACTTGCGGGATCTTGCTTAACATTCGTTAAGTACTCGCCACTCGTGCAATGTTTTTCCTCCGAATTCGCTGATCCTCGAAGAAAGCTTGATTTAAATTTGCTTGATCTTGATCTAGGTCCAGCAGCAGCAGCAGCATCAGCACCATCAGCAGCTTGCCTTTCTCAGGCAAGAGTCTCTTCCTTTTCTTGTAATCTTCTTAAGCGGCACGCCATGCGATTAGGACTAGCCAGGAGGACTTGGCTGGTTCAGAAGCCTGATTAAAAGGACTGCCACTTGAATCTAATTTCAAGCTGGGCCTCTGATCTGATCTCATCTGAGCTACCAAAAGGCAACACATAAGCAGGCTTACACGGGGGAGTGGAGTTGCTAGAGATCTCTGCTAGTGCTGTGAGCATCCAACTGATGATATGCTCTGAACATTGAGAACACAAGAACAGAATCGGGAAAGAATCTCAGTGGCAGAAACTGTGGACAAGCTGAAAAGGAAAAGCTCAAAATAATGTTAGAAGTTCACACGTTAAAATTTCAATTTCTACATTACTCAGACTATACTTTTCGAATTGCTAGCTAAACATCTGATATCTGTTTATTCAGAATATCCATTTAATCTAATTTAACTGCTCTCTAGAAATGTATTATTAATATTTGAATACCCAAAAAAAATATACGAAAGTGTCCAATTTATCTCCAACAATCGCAAATCAGTCACAAATATTAACTGGTAATAACTATTTATACGCTTAAATATGATATATAGTATACAGGATTAGGTATGTATTATTATGATAATTAAATCATAATTATACAAATTATATTTATCAGATAAATGAAAATTCTTGAAACTATGAACTTGATTCCGTTGTTTCTTGACTCAGAAGAGTTATTTTCCCTAAATAGATGCCATTAGTTAGCCTCCAATTAAAACATAATTTTGTTCATGGTACAAAAAAGTTTGAAAAAAGAGTTTAATTTCAATAACCTCTGTGTGGGGTATGAGGCATTTTGCTTCCACTTCAAACTTCCTCAAAAATAATTATATACCAGCCATAAGTTTGCCTAGTGGTACGTAGTTCCCTTTTTGGCATCCAAGAAATAAACCCCATTTGATGGCATCATAAAAGACAACTAATTATTGAATGGAAGGAAAACAATCAATAATTTCGAGCAACCCTCAAGCAGGGGCCCTCAAGTAGAACTACCCAACTACCAACTACCCAACTATAGAGAACAGAACAGAACCCACAGGTACTTCACACAAATCACAAAGCGGTAATAATGGCAGCGCCATAAACGGAGAGTGGATGGATGTCCACAGCTAGGGCCACGGCCACGGCGCTGTCTTCATTAACAACTGTCACACCAAAAACCCCCAGGAGTCCGGAGAGAATCAGAGAACACACAAGGGATAGAGAGCGAGAGAGTGAGCCAGAGAGAGAGAACGAGAACAGGTAGCTGTCGCAACGGAAAAAGGCCATAAAAACCCATAGAATTGAGAATGAGCGACGTGACGGCTGCTGCTCAATGAATTTTCGCAATGGCAGCCTGCTGCTACCCGGGATCGAGAGGATGCCCAGAGAGTGCGGAGTGAAAGAGACAGACGCTGCGAGAGAGCAGCGTTAGAGGGAGTGCGTGCGAGAGAGCTGGCAACAGCAGCTTCCCACCCCCCGAAGAAGCGACGACCAATAAACGTAGCGCTCGACTACCTAAGGGTGATCGGAGTGCGCTCGATGAATGGGACGGCCCGGGATTTGCGCGGCAGGACTATTAAAACAGGAGCAGGGTGGTGAGCAGACAACACAACCAGTCGTGATCTCAGCGAGTCCACATCAGAGTCCAGTTCGGTATAACAACACGGAGTGCTTCCAGCAAGGATAGCCCAAAAAATCGCAACGAATCGCAACCAAAATCGAACACATCGAAAGCCGAGAGCAGTGCCAAAGTGTCAAGAAATAAGAAACGAGCAAACAGAAAAAGTGAAACATATTTCGTGCCCCCCAATTGTGTCCATATAAATCGCCAAAATTACGCCCCACATCGGTATGCAGTCTGCGGAGGGTTCACCAGACATGATGGATCAGAAGTACAACAGCGTCCGGTTGTCCCCAGCGGCATCAAGTAAGTACACCACGGATCAAGCCCCAAGCCAAACCAAACCAAACCCTGATTAAGTCTTTCCAACAATCAAAATCCAAGTCAAACCATTCTAACCATTTTCTTCTCCCTTTTGTTGCTTTTCCAGGCCGCATCCTTTACCATGTGCCGTGCAAAGTGTGCCGGGATCACAGCTCCGGGAAGCACTACGGCATCTATGCCTGCGATGGCTGTGCCGGATTCTTCAAGCGCAGCATCCGCCGCTCCCGCCAGTACGTGTGCAAGTCCCAGAAGCAGGGCCTATGCGTGGTGGACAAGACACACCGGAACCAGTGCCGCGCCTGCCGCCTGCGCAAGTGCTTCGAGGTGGGCATGAACAAGGACGCCGTGCAGCATGAGCGCGGCCCACGCAATTCCACGCTGCGCCGCCACATGGCCATGTACAAGGACGCGATGATGGGCGCCGGCGAGATGCAGCAGATTCCGCCAGAGATCCTCATGAACACAGCCGCCCTCACTGGCTTCCCCGGCCTGCCCATGCCCATCCCTGGAGTGCAGCGGCCCCACCACCATGCCGGCCATCCTGGCCATCCCGGCCACCCAGCGCTGAGCGCCGCCTTCCAGACGCCGGCCGCTGTGCTGGATCTCTCTGTGCCCCGTGTGCCCCACCATCAGGGCCATCACGGCTTCTTCTCACCCACTGCCGCCTACATGAACGCCCTGGCCACCCGGGCCCTGCCCCCCACGCCCCCACTGATGGCCGCCGAGCACATCAAGGAGACGGCCGCGGAGCACCTGTTCAAGAACGTCAACTGGATCAAGAGCGTGCGCGCCTTCACGGAGCTGCCGATGCCCGACCAGCTGATGCTGCTGGAGGAGTCGTGGAAGGAGTTCTTCATCCTGGCCATGGCCCAGTACCTCATGCCCATGAACTTTGCCCAGCTGCTGTTCGTTTACGAGGCGGAGAACAACAACCGCGAGATTGTGGGCATGGTCTCCAGGGAGGTGCACGCCTTCCAGGACGTGCTCAACCAGCTGTGCCACCTGAACGTGGACAGCACCGAGTACGAGTGCCTGAGGGCCATCGCGCTCTTCCGCAAGTCCCCGCCGGCGGCTAGCTCCACGGAGGATCTGGCCAACAGCTCCATCCTGACAGGCAGCGGCAGCCCCAACTCCTCCGCCTCGGCCGAGTCCCGCGGCCTCCTGGAGTCCGGCAAGGTGGCGGCCATGCACAACGATGCCCGCAGTGCGCTCCACAACTACATTTCGCGCACCCACCCCAACCAGCCGCTGCGCTTCCAGACGCTCCTCGGCGTCGTCTCCATGATGCACAAGGTCTCCAGCTTCACCATCGAGGAGCTCTTCTTCCGCAAGACCATCGGCGACATCACCATCGTTCGTCTCATCTCGGATATGTATAGCCAGCGCAAGATCTAAGTGGATATCGGAAATCTGAGTTGCCGTCGGCGAATCGAATCGAATCGAATGGAATCCAATCATTCATTCATGCACTTGAAGTGCCTTCCTAGTGCTGGGAACTGTGATAACCTCGGATCCATTTGGCATTGGACAATATTCAATCAGTGAAAGCTTACACATCTCCAGGAGTTGAGCCTTAAACGCACCCTAATACCTTAACCCACTCACTAGCTTAGTCGGAGTCTCCTAGCCTTAGCCTTACCCTTAGCCTTAACCCTAACCCATCCACGAAGTGATTCAAATTGCATTCGTAAAAGTTTCAACTTTTCCTGTTAATACCTTTAGTTTAGTTAGAAGTTAAAAACATTTAGATCTAAGTGCATATCATTCGATTTAAGAACTTAACAAAACAATTTTAAAAATAAACCTAAAGGTTTTGAAATCAATACTATTTGCTGGAATTTTTATTGGGGATGTTTCAGGGCGGAAATTAAAATTTAAATTATTTTCAGTTTGGAGGATAATTGATGCTGAGCATTAAAAACTTTATATACATACTTCAGTGATTATAAAAATTCAGTTAAACTTGGGTCAGAATAGTGTTATATACATATGTTGAAAATTGTAATTCCGTGAGAAGAATTTAACATTTAAAAAGAAAAAAACTCTAAAATAAACGTATGTAAATATAAAATGGCAAGAAAATAATCTATGATCTTCTCCACTGTTCATCATCGTCTTCATCGTTTTCGTTATCTTGCCTTGTGATCAGTAAAATTTTAGCATTGCGCGCGCTCGTTTTGCTGCTGTCTACCCAATGCCTTATCTCGCTTAAGTTTCGTAGTTGTTGTTGTTGTCTCTTTTTCTATGGCTTGACTAGTCCTCTCTGGGTCACTAAACTGCTGTGTGCATTGCTCAACCGAATCTATGTAACTGTTAATCCTCTCTCGCTCACTAAACTGTTCTGTGCATTTGCGCTCTCTTAATGTTGTTGCTCATGCAAAAGCTCTTCTCTTCGCCTTCACTGATTCCCAGTGGGAAGTTCCCACTGCACAGTGGGACCACTGGGGTCTCTTTGTCTGCAGATACCATCTTGATAATAACCTTTAAATAAATATAAATATAAACAATTGAAAAGTGTTTTGGCATACATGGGGATTCATGAGATTACAGCGGGACTTATGATACTTTTTTATGCGATGCCATTTTGTGATGCTTTCCATATCTTTTGAGACATCAGAGGCAACCGCATTGCCAGGACTAATCACAAATGAATTATGCAAATATCGGAACAAAGACGGGAAAGACACTGCCACATTTGGCATTGAAGAAGGAAATCAAACAAATTAGCATAGTTTTTCCACATGAGCAGACCAAAGTCGGGATTAATTTGGGAACCTTCCACAGATGGCAATGGCCGCTCCAGTTCCCATTTCCCTCTCCAGCAGAACGGCCAGCAGAATCGGGCAGGGCAGGGCACGACACGGCACGGTACACACAACGAAATTCGTAAAGTTAAAAAGCAAAAATTCACTTTTGTGACTTTGTCGAGCCGCGTTGGATCGCTCGATTGGGGTGCTGCTGCCACTGCTGCTGCTGCTTCAGGATCGCTATCCCCGCTCTGCCAGGCGGACAAAAGCAATTGAATCCTTTCACAAAAGCAGAGGAGCAGGAGCCAGAGCAGGGGCACTGTGGAAAATGAGTTTTCGTTGGGAAGGCTGAACAAACAATTCAGGAACACAGTTGCCAAATTGCGTTGGCCAAAGCAAACAGAGCGGAGAGAGCGATGGAGAGTAGTGCTGTTGAGTAGATCTCTGGCCAGATGAGTAGGTCTATTCCACTGACACACATCCACAGACATAGCCATAGCCACAGCCACGAGGAGGATGTGCAAAAACCTACCCTAACCCAAGGGCAGGGCACCCATGGCTGCTGCTTCAGGGCCTGCGGGGATTTGGAATTAAATATGCTTCGTTGGTGCTGCCATTTCGACTTTGGCAAGGACCCCGGTTCACTCGGATGCTGTTGAACCCGGGGTAACAAATTCTCTCCACTCTCTCCCTCTCGCTCTCGCTCTCTCTATGTTCATATATTGTCTATATTCCCTGACATTTCTATTTCTGTTGCTGCTGCTGCTGCTGCCGCTGCTGTTGAGCCCTTTTAAGTCCTAATGGCCCTTTATTATCTGCCTTTAGACTTTTAATAGACTCAGTACAGGACAGGAACAGGACTCTGTGCTCTCTGGATCTCTGCGTGTGTGCCTGTGCTGGCTTAATCCTCATCATTCTGTCATCAGTGACGTTTTTCTGCACATTGTCGGGCCTCGGCATTGTTCTGGTCTTAATTTGCAGACTTCTCTTGTAGTTTTTGCACTCCCGGCGAGCAAAGGATTTTCACTTTTTGATTTCTATAATGTCTATAAAAAAAGAGACAGGACAGCATCAAAGGAGAAGTCATGAAGATGCGGGGTCTATAACGGATCTTTCGTGTACTTGAGGCTGGACTGGGAGAGATACAAATCTGATCTGTCGTGGACTTCTGCTGGGATCGGGACTAACTTATGCCGCCATGGAACTTCAGGGGGGGGACTATTCCTGATCTGCCTTGGCCTTGGACTAACTTGTGGTGCCTCACTTGAACTGCTTTAAATCTGGAAGCTTTGGCCCGCGGATCGGTTGAGTGGGTCGCGATGCGCTGTGTGCCCTTCTCTAAGCCAGGCAAAGATCACAGATCACAGACCCATACCATCTCAAGTGGTTCTGTGTGGATCTGTGGCCTGCTCTCCGGATTCTCCGGAATTTTCCGCTCGTAACAAGTGAGAGAAGCTGCTGGATTTTCGGTAACACTTTTAATTCATAGATTTTCGTTGATTAAGTAATCCCCAGCGCTCAGAGCTCAATGAAGGCGACGGGCAGGCCGTTGCCGTTCGCCGTTCGTCCGCCGCGATTAGCGCAGTTCGCGTAAGCGATCCCGATGCCGATCCCAATGACGGTGCTGAGAGTGTGGGCCCAGGCCCGGGGCAGGTGTGGCAACAGGTTAAGGTTTCGCAAGCTTAAACCACACTCGCTGCGAGTCTCCGTCTCTGCTTCGGCCTCTGCCTCTGCAGAGCAGTGCCTCTGCGGGTGATCCTTATCCAGGAGCAATTACCTAGCGAAACAAAAATATGAGTATGCAAATAGATTTTAATGGGCAGGATTACTCTTTTGCTAAATGCCCAAATCCTGGCCGGGCGGTCTGCGCGAAGGTTCGCTTTGCTACGAGGCAGGACTCCTCCTCTTCGGCTCTCTTGCGGCTGCCTTTGCTTTCAAATGTAATGAGAATGTCTCTAAGCCAAAATATTAAACATCCGTTTGATCCTGGCTTGCAGCAACAGCCACAGCAGCAGCAGTAGCAGGAGTAGGAGGAGGAGTAGCAGGGCGACAGAGATGGGTAGATCCTTGCAAATCCGGCTTCCGATTGTCCCTATCCCCGTTGTTGTACCTGAAGTCAGGACGTCTCTGTCTCTGTCTGCTCGCTTCGGCTTCAGCCTTGCGGCAAGCAAAAGTCAGCCCGAGGCGGCGTTGTTTTTGTAAATTGAGTAGCTCGATTTATCGCCAGATCAATTTTCTATATCTGCCGCACAGATAAGGAGAGCGGGAGAGCGGTAGAGCGGCAGAGCGGCAGAGAAGGAGAGGCTAAGCCTAGGTTCTGGTCCTTGTACTCCTGCCCTGCCCCGCTCCTTAGTCCCTGCTTAGTGCCCTTAAGTTCAGCTTAACTTACTTTAGTGGGCAAATGGCAAATTTTCAGCGGAAAACCATCCGTAGTTCTTTGTATTTGCATACACCAGCAACTCGGCATTGTCTTTGACGCTTAGTCGCATAATTTGTCAGACAAGAGCCAGAGGCGGAGCCAAAAAAGGGGAATGGGAAGGGAATATGGTGCATGGTACAGGGCATGGGGGGAACCTCATTAGGGAATCGCTACGAATCAAGCAGCTGTCCGGGAAAGAGGGGAATTGATCGGAACATCATTTTCTATGGAGGCACTTTTCGAGCGCTGTCCGAGGCGATTAGTCGAGAGTGACAATAAGGCCAGGGACATGGCAGGACCACTGAAGCGTTGCCTAATCACAAGTGGAGTCCCCTCCCACCCCCGTATGTCTCTTTTTTACGCTGCTAAGTACTTGATGCTGCTTAAGTCCCAGTCCATTGAAATCTTTGCAGATCCACGAATCTGCTCGCCTCTCCTTTTGATTGTTGCAATCTGAAGACGAGGCGGGACAATGGTTCGGTTCGAATATCGGGTCTGAGGTTCAGATGAGATGAGTGGACCTCCTGGAGGTGAGAAAAATATTAGGGGCAAATCCGCTGAGCCGCTGAGCCTCGGGAACAATGTCCTCGATGCTCAAGAGCAACTTGCGTTTAACCTCAAGAAAGTTGCAATTGCCCGCATTTTTCTGGGCATCTCATCGATCGTCGATCCCTTTGTTCCCGGCAGTTCGCTAGAAATCTGTGAACATCGACAGGGACGGGGACAGGGGACAGGGGGACAGGCTAACAAGTGTTATACGATCTGCGACAGTTTTATATGCACTCTGAATGTGAGGGACCATCAAGGACTTGCAATCAAAAGCTGGACCACCGAGATCACAACGTCTTGTGTGGTTTCAGCCATAGGGGTCGCAGTATGAGAAACAAACTTTCGATGAAGTCTGGATATTGCCTGGATGATCGGGAGGATGGATGGTTGGATGTTTGGATGGATAGCATAGCTAAAAGGTCGGAAGTGGTGGCTGCTGCATCTGCGGCCCTTGCCCCCGGGGCGGGCTCATGACGCAGCGTCGTAATTGAATTTGTTGCCTTTTCATTTGATGTTTTCTTTTTTGTTTTTAGCATAACAAAAGCCGACCGCCCAGTGGCCCGAGGCAGCCAACTGATTGCGTATGATAGTTCTTCCTTTCCTGGATTCTACGACTACTAGTTCCTGGGGTTGGAGCGCCTCATCCTACTCTTCCCTTGGAAAATGGCGGCCACCACGAGGTCAGCTGTGCGTTTGTGGCGCACTCGTGGAACTAGCATTTACGGCATATCATTTAATTAAGCTGTCACACGAAGCTCTCCACCCAACCAGGCACCCACACCCGCAGAGGTTGGAAAAGTTTGAAACTTTTCAACTTCCGGTCAAGGAAGCAGGTGGTCAGGTCAGGTCGATTCAATCCCTCGCTGGGTCATCAGGTGCATCCCCGAATGAAGCCATTACGGCCGGGGCTGCAGTCGGGGTCACGCAATCGCCGAGTCCTGGGAACTGCTCGAAGTCCGAGTCGACCAGCAACGATGAAAAGTGAA